CAGCCCTTAAGATCTGGCTATCCAGTCAGGCCTGGGGATAAGACTTTACTCTCGCCCCTCCCGAATGCTGAATGAATGTTGTGTTTTTACCGTTAATTATTTTTACTCACATTTTCTTTTTGTGTTTTGTTCTGCACTCCCCTCCCTTATTATTGTAAGCCGCCCTGAGTCCCCTTAGGGAAAAGGGCGGCCTATAAATGTTTAATAAAACCTAATAAAACCTAAAAACCTGAAACCTAAAACCAGGATTGTCATAGAAAATCTTTGCTGCATTTGATCAAAGTAAATTTGCCAACTTTTTTTTGCAAAGAAACTGGAATACATCCCAGATGTATCACATATTCTTGGTATATAAAATAGTGAGACCATTGAAGAAAAATGACACACAGCACAGAATCACTTGTATGTTCTGTTTTTATTGATCATTAGTGTAATAATTTTATGATTTCATTTTCTGGATGATCCAATCAAGATATGAACTGATCTTAGTATAGATTCCAAAATTATTAGGATCCCCACAGCCTTCTCCCCAACTCACTAGTCCAAGTAGGAACCAGGTATTCTTGAATTTTACAACCATAGGACCACCACTGTCTCCATGACAAGAATCCCGTATATCTCCTGGTATCCCTGCACAGAACATATTATCTGTTAGGGAATTCCACATAGAATGGATACAGTCATTCCGTGATGCTACAGGAATTTCAATAAAATTGAGAACAGAGGAGAAATTCTTCTTATAATTCGCACTCTGGCTTCCCCAGCCTGTTACTATTGTTTGAATCCCTTCGGTCATCAACTGTTGATTTGCCAGGTTTTGGGTAGGCAGGCAAATGGGTATAATATACCTATTGACAACAACTGGGTGGGATAGATGTAGTATTGCAATGTCATTATCATAGGTGTCTGAAGAGTAATTTTCATGATAGAATATCTTGTCAGCAATGATAGTTATCTCACTTTCATCTATACGCCGTCGGTGGTATTTACCTGTAAAAGCAACATAAAAATTTGGAAATACTATTTCCTTGGAACTAAGTCAAGTCTACCTTTCTCCAAATTAATAAAGGTTGTACTTTCTCCTTGAATGTTAGAATAAGCAAACTCCAAATTATATAGGAATAAATAGTGATTCAATTATAATATAGATTTGCATGCAATAGGAAAATTGCTTACTATATTGTTCTTGTTAACCCAAGAATCAGATGAAAAGGAAAAAGGAAAGAAAGGAGAAAATATGCATATAATGGAATTGGATGGAGAAAATTAAAACAGAAGTGGGCAGACAGAATTTCATTCATTCTCATTGGTTGAAGAGGATAGGAGATGCAAGAAAACATTTTACACACATTTCATTTTTTCAAACCAAAACATCAGCTACAGGCTTCTAGCCAAGATATAAAGTATGTAAATACCAGATATTTTTTTAAAAAATTAAGAAAACCCTGTTTAGAAGAGATAATACATTTCTCTAATCTAACCCAGCATTTTCTTCCTATTGTGACCAAACAATGCCCTGGGTAGTCCCCAGTCTCCTATTTGTGTTCCTCAACAGCTAGCAGTGAGTGACAGACTGACTCCTGTCAGTCTGACGCTGATTACAATACATCAGCGACTTTGTTAAACTCCCCCCTTTCAAGCAATCAAAATTAATATGGACATTTGTGGTAGGAATTTCATAGTTTAACTAGAGGGTGTGTCAACAAGTCCTATTTTATCAGTTGTTTATCTTTCACCACTGAGCTTCATTAAATAATCTCTGTGAGAAAAGGAGAAACATCTCTCAGATTAGGTGCCTCCAGCATTAAACCTCTACCTTAAAACAGGATGATTATTAATAGAACAAATTTGGTGTTCTGGGAAATCTTGACTTCCCACCTTCTTATCTTTGAACATGCCTACTAGTAAGATACTTTTGTTTTTGTTAAATTTGAATGAGACTGGAATCATAGCTCTGATGTCAACTGTAATTCTTTGTGCCTGTTAATGGCCTTGGATTGTTATTGTCAGTTACCTTGCCTCACAGGCAAGATTTAACAAAGTTTACATTCTAATATCTTTTTACTAAGAGTTATTTCTGGAAAGATCAGTTCAGACATTGAGTTTTGTTAGAACACCACTATTTTAATTTGTCTCTCAATATAACTCATGCTAACTTGCGCTTAATGATGGCTGTATCTATCCAGAGTTAAGAATTGAGCAATCTCTGCAAGAACATGCATTGTACCAATGTTTCTCAACCTGAACAACTAAGATGGAATTGAAATCCACACATTTTAAGTTGCTGAGGTTGAGAAACACCACATTATACAGGGTAAAAGACTTATTGATATATGTCATATTAAAAAAGAATACAGGCATTAGGATTTTCCTTACCTAAAGTCAGTTTGATTCTGGGTTCATCAACTACACAATGTGCAGCTGTCAATACCCAAGCAGGATGAATGAGAACGCCACCACATTTAAAGTCTCCTGCACTATTGCCCAGCATAACCTGCAATGGAAAGGAGGAAGAGGCTACAAAAACTGTTGCTTTGCCAATGCCGTTCTCTATACTGCTCTGTTGACGATCATAAATTCTGAATTTACCAAATTGTTAGGTCACATGCAATAGCCTATGGATGTTTTGCTGATCAGGATATTCTGAATGGAAAACATTGATACAAGTACTGTAGGAACTGCATACATTTAAATTTATATTTCTTCTGATGTACTTATCTTTCCAACTGGTATTGAACTTGCCACTTGTATGCTCAGCAAACCATCGGGATATATTATATTATGGTAATTCCAAATGGAATTATTAATTTGTCGGCAGCTCAGGCCGAAATCTTTACTGTCTTGAAATTGTTCTAAAATGGAGTTGCAGTTGAAACATTCAAAGTGCTGTCAGTTCCTAATTTTAAATTACAATTGCTTCTGCATTGTCCAGTTATGTTTTTTTATTAAAATGCAGCGACTGTATCTCCCAGTCCCAAGATGAGATTCCTGAGCAGTGACACGTGGTGAGGCTTATGGCTGGTGAGGCACTGACACAGGGGTTTCAAATTTTTTAGACTTGTGGACTTCAACTCCCAGAATTCCACAGTCAGGCATGCTCAGTTCTGATTTAAAGCGACAGCATTTGTTTTTCTCCTTTGCGAAAAAGTTTTCCTTCATTCTTTTTCTTCTCCCTCCCGCTCCTTCCTCCCTCTCTCCCTCCCTCCCTCCCCCCTCTCTCAAACAGACACACACACAGAAGTTGGATCCCTCTCTCACTCACTCTCAAACAAACACAAACACAGAAGTTGGATTGGAGATATTTTCCAATGGCACTAAGCAGAGTCATCCACGGTGACTCTGGAAGCAACTAGCTCAGCCTTTTTCCTTTTACATTTTCTTTTCTTTTCATGATGACACTGGTGAGGCTCTGCCTCCCCTGCCTCCCCTGACTGCACGTCCCTGGTCCTGAGAGTTTCATTCTTAGATATTTGTGTGCTTGAGTGAAGCTGGTATGTTCCTCAACAACACAATTTGGAAAATCAGGTCTCCCTAACTGGTTATAGTAACTAGAATCCATAATAAAATGCATCAGCTCCAAATCCTCTTTTTTGTATATTTCAGCCTTCAGCAATCCCTCTGACTACAGGTAGTCCTCAAGTAGTCCTTAAGATCACAATTGAGGCCAAAATTTCTGTTGGTAAGTGAAATATTTGTTAAGTGAGCTTAGACCCATTTTATGACTTTTCTTGCCACAGTTGTTAAATGAATCACTGCAGTTGGTAAATTGTTAAGTGAATTCAGCTTCCTCATTGACTTTGCTTTTCAGAAGGTTGAAAAAGGGGAAGACATGACCCACAGACATAGTCATAAATATGAGTCAATTGCCTAGTATCCAAATTTTGACCATATGATCCTGGGTGTGTGTGTAATGCAATGGTCGTGTGAAAAATGGTCATGTTACTTTTTACTTTTACTTTTTGACTTTGAACTGTCACTAAATGAACTGTTGTATGTTGAGGACTACTTGTATGGTTGCTGAAAGGTTACCGCATAGCTTCCTATCATTTTGAAGTGGAAAACTCTATTGTAAGTCCTAACATGAGAATATCACAATTAAAAAAACCGCAAACTCTACTCTACTCATTGAATGAGATATATAGGTCATCCTTTTCCTCTTTGTAGTCAGTCATCATTCCATTTTTAAGTATGTACCCTAGATGCCTAAAAGTTGTCCAGTTTGGTATATTCAAAGCCTATAGCTTTGGCATGATAGCACATGTCAAGAAAATATAATGTACAGTATCTGACGTTGTAAACAGTGAAATAAAAAGGACTTACAGGTCAACACATGGGATAAAACAGATGCCCATTTCACAGAAAGATCAAAGCTACTACAAAATGAAGATTTCATCACTACATACTTGCCAAGGGCTGTCTCCTCTTTTTCCAGGATCACCCCCAATTATTTTTGCAACCTTTAATTTGGATTCAACTACTCTCCCACAGGAATACTCAACTGCAAAAAAGGAAGGAAAAGAAAGTTTGAAATGCTACTATGATCCCTTAACAATTATCCCAATATTCAACTTAAATTTTACAGCTGGTTTGTGTTTTGCCTCTTTCTAAAAGTTCTGTATTACCTACAAGGTGCCCTCCCAATTCAGTGAAATAGTGGGAAATGATCCTCCAGTTATTTTGGCTTTTATAAGGAAAGTTACGCATTTTTATACTTATATGATTGTGAGATTGTGTTTCATTTATTTGTGCTGTAAATGTTCAACAATACCTTAATATTTTCATGAATCGATCTATCTAAGTCTATCTAAGAACTTTTTATAACAGTATTGTGGAATACAATTAAAAACACATATACACAACCCTTTTCTATTTCTTGTAGTACCAATGACATTTAATGACCAATACATATATTAAATTGAAAGACAACACTTAAAGAGAATAATAAATGGACATCATGCTAAAAATGAAATGGCAGATTTTTGATATATTTTTAACTTATTATTATAAAGTGCATTATCAGGCGAAATCTCTGAATCTGATCTCTTGGGTAATTTACTTGTTATTAAGCTCTTAGCAATACAAAATAAGATGTTCACAAAGTCTTCTGTAATAAGATTTATTGAAAAATGTTAGGTACAGATGTCTGGAAAATTGGGACTCTCTCTTTATCTCTAAGTTTGCCATGGTACAGATTTCTTAATTCTCCTGCTTAGCCATTAGATAGGAACTGCTGAAATCCAGAGATGGGGTTATATGTACGATCTTTTGAAATAGTAATTAATATCTGGCAAACCATTATTCATTTCTCAGATTCCAAGAAGCTTACAACCATACTTCCCTCCACAAAAAGATATGTCAGATTATTACAGGTGGAAACCGCTATTTCATTTTTAATGTAGGATTTGAAAATGTTTTCCTGTCCCAAGAATGAAGTGGCATGTTACAGAATTCTGCCACCTTATTTTGTATAATTCATTGAGTAATGCTTGTCCCTCAGTAAAATGAACAGCAATATTTCTCTAGTGTACTGAACAATATACTCAGGGTTATTACGTTCTAAGCAATAAAAGAATGGTAAATTCTGCAAAATCTAACACACTTTAAATAATGTTTACATAAATGTATGTTTGCCTGATCATCTCTTTACCTGAAGGTACACAAGAAGCATGATTGTCCATCAGGTGGTAGTCCAAAGCACAGCTGCAGTAACGGTATCGATCGTTGTTCCTTTCACTCTCATGGCAGAAATGTTCACAGCCACCATTGGCAAAGGAGCAGTTAGTGTAGGTGACCTCTGGGCAGCAAAAATACAGTGGAATGAGATGTTCTTATGAAGGGAAATCAATTAATTTTTACGGATCAGTTAAGATGTATCTTTTCCCTAGAAAGCTATGCAGTGGCACAGAAGTTAGAACGCAGTATTGCAGGCAAACTCTGCCCACATACTAGGAGTTTGATCCTGACCGTCTCAAGGTTGACTCAACCTTCTATATTTCCAAGGTTGGTAAAATGGGGACCAGATTCTTAGGGGCAATATGCAGACTCTGTAAACCCCTCAAAAACGGCTGTAAAGCATGGTGAAGCGGTATGTAAGTCTAAGTTGCTATTGTGATTGCTATTGCTATGTGATAAAATGAAATTGGCAAAATCAAGTGTCTAGTAAATCACAATGAACTAGACACTGCAACTGATGTTAAATGTGACAATTGTAAGTATGAGTACAAGTCCTTTTTCCAAATTATCATAACTTTGAACAACACTGTAAAATGAACAGTTGTAAATTAAGAGCTATTTGTATTACCATCCCATATTTTAACAATTATAAATTACAGTAATCTTGTTGAGTGAAAATTGGTAACAAATGCCATCACATATGCACATTATATAGTTGTAAGTAATCAATCAGAGTTGTTTGCGATAAGAGACCCACGGTAAGATATCAGTGATAATAAATCTGAGTGTCAAAAATAGCATTACCATTTTGGCACAATCGTCCCTCCCAGCCTTCGTTACATATGCAGTCAAACCGCCCAATGCCGTCCTGACAGAATCCATTGAAACATGGGTTGGAAACACACATATCTCCATCTAAAAAAAAAAAAAAGCATCAGAAAACCCAGATCATACAGATCTTCACAGTACTTAACATTTGTTATGTTTCTATTGATGTTTACTCCAAGAGCATAAAGTGCTTAAATGGAAATGGTATTTCATTTTATCTCCACAACGATAACCTTATAAGTAACTTGGCTGAGAGCTAGTGACTGGCCACAAGTCACCAGTGACTTTTTGTGACTGAGGATGGACTTGAACTTGGATTTCTCTCCTTCTAATCCAACTCCTTAGTATGTACAGAATGCAGTTCCCCTTTTGGTCAGCCACACAAATTCTTCCCTTTGTTACAATTTGCTTCTTTTGAATGGATGGGGTTAGGAAGATATTAGGAAAAAGAGAAACAGGAACGTGTTTGGAATGTAATCCTTTTTTCAAGGTTACAGTAAAGTACAGATATTTATTTAGGCAGAGAATGATATATACATTTCTATAGTCTTCATTTCATGTGTACAGAGATGAATTGGTGTCAGGTTTGTGGATGAGAAGTGAATGAAGGTCACATTCCTTTAACAAAATCTATTTAGGCTATTCCAATATTTCTATATGCCAGGACAGGAGGACTAAAACAGTTGTTGCTCTTGTTAAACCAATAGGTACTTCTTTTGTTATAATTATAATTCCTGAGGATGCTACCAGTAGACCTACCTTTAGGTCACCTTCCAACTTTTACAGCACAAATCATAGAAAGGTATCTATTTAAATTAACACATCATCCCTTTCCAAGTAAAATCACTATTCAAGAAGAAACCTGGAGAGGAAAACAGCTTGGTTTTTCTCTTGCTGGGAAACTGAATGTTAGACTGCTGTAAAAATACTTATCTCCTCAGCTTAAGTATGATAAATTCAGCTGATATATGTAAATCAATAATATTACCTTTATTGGTATTGTTATTGCAAGACCTCTTTGCAGATTCTTTTGTTGATTAGTGTTATTGCTTGACAGTCAGGCAATTAAAAACAGACTTCCCATATGTCGGTAGTAAAATATCTAGACAATCACTTTATGTCAGCAAAGAGAGTAATCTTAAATTCTTTTCTATTGAACAGTTATCTTAATTTCTGCAACTCAAATATTGTAGTCCTAACCAAAGAAGCATTTGGACTAGATGGCTGTCTCATTAGATAGATTTGTTGTGGAGTCACAAGGCTATAACCATAAATATCCAATTAACTGAAATCTCTGCAAGTTTCATTCCAATTTAACCAAATAGTGAGTGTGATTCATTTATTTAAGAAAGTTATGAAATTTATATGGTCATTTAACTCAACCAATGTGAGTTGTGAATATTGTGGGTGGCTCACAATAATGATAATTTAAAAAATGATATTTTTTAAAGAATGCAATTAAAATAAAAAGAACCCTTAATGGGAGATCAGGAACTCACAATTATTATCTTCTTCCAGACAGAGATTATCTCTATCCTGATGCCTGAGGAAAGAGCCAGGTTTTCAAGTCTTTCTGAAGGTCAGGAAGATTGGGGCCAAGTGTATATAAGGGAAAAGGTCATTCCAGAGAGCAGACTGAATTGCATCACAGATGGGACTTAGAGTATGTCTACTCTATTAGAATGAATGGGATGGGCAGATAATATTGGGGGTCAGTGGTAGATTTCAATTTTTTTAGAACCTCTTCTGTAGGTGTGGCCTGTTTTGTGGGAGTGGCTTGCCAGCCATGTGACCAGGAGGGAGTGGCTTGCTAGCCATGTGATCGGGTGGGCATGGCCAACTTGTAAAATGTGGTGAAACTCACTTAACAATGCTCTTGCTTAGCAACCAAAATGTTGGTTTAGAAACGCTGGCCTTTGAAGCATGCAAGTCTTAAAGCTGTCAAGTTACAAGACCCTTGCACTCCTAACTCTTTAGAAAAAAAACTCCAGGGGTGTTCAAACTTCACAGCTTTAAGACTTGCATGCTTCAAAGGCCAGCGTTTCTAAACCAACATTTTGGTTGCTAAGCAAGAGCATTGTTAAGTGAGTTTCACCACATTTTACAAGTTGGCCATGCCCACCCGATCACATGGCTAGCAAGCCACTCCCTCCTGGTCACAT